TATAGGCCTATATAAGTATATATGTAAGTATGTGTATATATGTATATATATAAGTATGTATATATAAATATATATACGTATATATAAGTATGTATATGTATATATATAAGTATGTATATATATATGTAAGTATGTAGATATATAAGTATGTATATATATAAGTATGTATATTATGTATATATATATACGTATATATGTCTATATATTATGTATATATATATATGTATATATGTTATAATGCATATATGATATGTATGTATATATATATATATAATAAATATATATACACATACATATATACATTATAACATATATACATACTTATATATATATATACATATATAAGTATATATATGTATTTATAAAAGTATGTATATATGTTATAACTTTTCTTTGACGCATGCGCATTTCCATAAATGTCTACACACACACATACACACTACACACAATAAAAAACATAGGAAATAGCAAGAGTGATTACAATAGTTCCTATTGCATTACATGCATAGGAACTAAAAAGTAGTGTAATGTTCGATTTAAAGTCTATCAGTGTCTATGGTTTCAAGTATTTCTAAACAAAAACTCAACACAACCCTTTACTCTTGCCGCCCCCCCCCCCACTGAGATTTTTCTCTCTAGATCAGCACCTGGTCCAACATTTACATAACAGACTCTATTAACACTACAGACATTCAGACATGGACACAAATTATTTTTGCCCTTATAACTTTAGGCCTCCTAAGTATGGATAACTTTTTTTTGGTCGTTTAATAGTCTTGAAAATACTAATATAAAGAGGGTTATGTAGTCTAACTGATTGTTTTAATAAATTGTGTTTAAATAGTTTTTTTAAGTCCATTGTCTTCACAATGGACTTAATAGGGTTTTTGGATTTCTGTCACACTACAAAGACTAATAGGTCTTACAGATATACCATTTATATTATAGTCTATACAGATAGATTAATCCATCATATTTTGTTTCCATTACTATTATATAATATCGGACTTCCGCCATATTTTATATTATTACCACTTACAATGCGCTCATATTTTTTTTCCCATTATGTTAACAGGGATTTTGGATTTCTGCCATAATTGGACTTATAGGCCTTGTATATACTATGATATATTCTACGGATGGATTCTTTTTTCATCACTTTTATATTCTTAACATTCTGAGTTATTTTTACTGCTTATTTTTTTATCAACATTCTCAATGCGCTTATATTCACAAGAATTTATATTACTACTTGTTACTTGATTATCTTCATATTTATTCACAATTTATCCATAAGCCATTATGCTGTTACGGTGCTTAACACAGGCCCGTAGCCAGGGGGGTTTTTTAGGGGTTCGGGCGAACCCCCTTTTTCAGCGAACCCCCTTAGCCAGAAAACGATCCTCTGTTCCCAAAATAGTGCAATTTATTACAAAATGGGAGCATTTTTGGGCGCTCGACATTTTTTTAATAAAAAAAAGTTTGTTTAACAATAAACATTTACGTTCTAAATCCTGTATTGGAAAAAGTAGTCTTCTTATATTATTTTAAAAATTGTGTAAGAAGAATTTAAATATACATGAACATGCATTTAAATGACATGTACATGCTTTTAAAATCATATGCTCTGGCTTCGCCCCCGGCCCCCACAGGGGCTTTTCCCCCTTGACCCCACCGGGACCCTTTGGCTGGCCCCTGGACCCCACGCCCAGAACTCCCCTTGCTGGTAACACCTTTTTACTCATCTCCATTGTTCCAGCTAGACCTTAGCTTCTATTGCCCACTAGAGATATTTACTTCCTTGTTTCTGTATCCAATCAGATTTATTGTTTATCATATATTTATCTTTTATCCAATCAAATCATTTTGTGATGTCGATGTATATTGCTGTATCTTGTGTAACACTTCACTCACCTGATGAAGCCCCATTGACTGGGGCGAAAGCTTGTGAATTAAAATTCATTGTTAGTCAAAAAAGTGCTACACCTTCTCATTTGTTTCATTAGTACAGTAGAACCCTCTTTTACGTACGGGACGGGCCCAGAGGCGTTCTTAAAAATCATTTGTAGTAGGTATCCCAATGAAGCCATTCTGAGTGTATACAGTTTTCAAAAATTTGTGAGATTCGAAAAAATGACCTCACTTCGATGTTAAAAATACTATACTCATTGTGAATTTTTGCCAATAAAATTTATATAGTTTGAAAAAGCATGCTATAGTGTTTACTTACATGCTTTTTAATAAGATTGATGTAGTATTTGATGAGTAAGTGCGATTTTAAAATGGAATGAAAAACCAGGTGAGCCAAATTTGCGCGCATAGAGAAAACATAGGGGAAACCCTCCCCCCTTTCAAACTTTAAATCACGATCGCTTGATGACTGTCAAAGCTAGCTGAATGATTTTTTTTTTGCATGTTATCAGGCTTCAAACAAGCTTTATTTTGATGTGTAAACTGTCTAAAATTGATGTGTTCATCCACCATAAAAAACAAAATTAGTGACAAAGTTCGTGTTTTGTGCGATTGTTCATGAACAAAACCTATCGAAAATACCACTAAATTAAAGCTAATTTAAAGCTAAGTTAAAAGGAATCTAACAAAGGATGTGAAATTTATTACTTTATGGAAGACCAAGAAAATGTATTACTTCACTTCGACTAAAGATATGACTCCCAATGAGTATAGAAGTTCTGTAGTGTACCATTTTCAATGTCCTGGATGTAACCTTGATTACATTGGTAAAACTGATAGATGTCTTATTACCAGAATCCATGAACATGCTACTTTATCTAACAGTGTAGTTCATAATCATGTTCAAACCTGTGATAATTTTAATTACATATTAGGACTCCATAATTTACCTAACACACTTGATGACATCTCTATGACCAACTTTAAATCTTTAATTTATTCTAATACTAAAATAATTGATAATTCTTCTAATTGGTCCCACTTGTTATTTAAAGAAGCACTTGCTATTCACCGGCATAAGCCTTCACTTAATTGTGGTCTCAGAGCTTCTAGAGAATTAAAACTGTTTATTTAATTATGACTACACCCTTTCCCTCTGGACCAATCACATTTGCTGCTTATTATCATCTTACGGCTCATTAATTGTATTTGCATATTGTAGCATTTTTGGTAATTACTCTGTAAATATTTTTATTCCTGATGATGACTTAATGAAGTCGAAACGTTGAGTAAAATGGCCTCACTTTCTCTCTTTGGAGTCACTTTTGTTTTATTTTAAAGCTAGATCTTATTTATATCTGATAAACTATGATTTAATAACAGATTTTGCATGGTCATCAAGCGAAAACATTTTGAAATACGGTGAATTCGGGAGTAAAATAAAGTTGAACACATCGGAGACCACACCATTGTGTATCCGGTGAAGCTTACTTACCATACACCTTTTAATCGCTAATCACTACCGCTTGAAACCAAAATGGATGGTTCCAATTCGCCCACTGCTCTGCACGTGTTCCGCTGCTGTCGCACTGACTGCCAGGTGGAGAGCAGGCATAGTTCGTATGTTCAGGGAGTTGTTATGGTATGATACAAGATCAAATATACAATTAAAACTATCAGATTGTTTTTAATTTGACGAGTTTATTCTCTACCCAAATTTTAATATTCAACTAAATATTCGTCTTTCGATTCGGAGGACCTAGAATAGAACTTACAGTAGGCTAGAAGATGAATCATCTGTACGTATGTATTGTAGACCCCGGTGAGATGTGATTGTGAGTAAACATAGCCGTCATACGCTTGCGATAAAGATAATAAATATAGACAGGCAAGACTCAACTTAATATTTAGGCCAGCATATGTAACACAATTTACCTTAGCATTTTAAATAGGGTTATGATTAT